TTCATTTAGTTTGGCTTTATTCCCTCATTTTTTAACTCTGCTTTTTTTGACCCACCCCGCCCCCAACCAGTCCTCCTGCACCTCACTTTGGTTCTGCCACATTATTCTTCCTGTTAGAAGGGAGCTCTTCCTCCCCACCAATGCCACGTCGATAGGGGACCGTCTGATACTGTGATATCTTAACTGATCACAGAGGGACTCAAACCAATTCATCTCCAGTCTGATTCTGTAAACAAGGTTTCGTATTTTTCAAGTTTGGCTTCCAGTCAGCGCCTCACCGTGTGTCTCAAATATGTTTGTACATATGGGTCAGACTTGTGCACAGGTGTGCTCGTGTTCTCCCATCAACTTTTCTTTCATAAACTTTCTTAGACCTCGTTACGCCTCAGCACAGTGTTTATAGATGTGAATACTGCAGAACCGAGTAGAAATGCAGGAAACTTTGGAAGTTCATGAGCTCTCAGAGTAACCTGAGTGCTGATGAAGTCTGCAGGAAAATAACTATGACTAAGCTTTTATCGGACGGAGTTCCTGCAGGGTTATCACTCTCAGTTCGGTAATGGGGATGTAATTGAGTTGTACTCAGCCACAGTAACAACATCAGCGGGTTCTGTTCAGTGTCTGCGGCCACCGATCCACAGAGGATTAGGTTTTGGAGTGGATGTGAGGTGATGTCACGGGTCTGATCTGAACCCCATCGGCTCACGTTAAGATAAGAACCAGGCTAAACGAGTCACGTGGACGCAGAGAGACGAGGTTAATGCGCAGATACCGAGCTTCTTCCTGATGTGGACTTTTTTGATAAGACAAAAATATGATTTAAACCTGAGTGCAGATTCAAAGGCTTTAATGGATCGCTTGCAAACACACATTACAGCCAGTTTTTAAAAGCCTTGTGCTGAACTACAAAGGTAAACTCAATGTGGGACAGAAACGTTTCGGCTGGAGGTGGTACTGCAGAAGTGTCCATGATGTTCTGAGCGGCTCCGTGTGGAGAGGTTCAAATATCTTAGAGTCCTGGAATAATGAAGGATGAGAGCGACAGACGGTCTGTTGTGGTGAAAAGAGAGCTGAACGTGAAGGTCGATCTACTTTAATATGCCCACCTATCGGCTGTGGAAGTCCATGTCATGTAGATATGGGCGCATAGTGCCCCGAGAGGTTTCATTAAAAGATTAGGTTGATTTAGAGGAACAACCTTTACTCCAGAACTCTTTTTTCCGACAGAGATCTGCCTCACTGAAATGAAAACTGTAAGTGTCACATTTAGAAGAGTCTGGAGTCCGCTGTGCACAAACAGCCTTTATTTTTATTTTGTTTTTTTAATAAAAAGATTAACGTGAATTATGAACAGCTGATGGTCCTCTTTTCAAATATGGAAAACAGACAGATTTCAATTAGAAGCAATTTTTAGAAGAATAGAAAATTAGAAATGAGATTAAATCAGAGAGCTGTCAGCCTCTGCATCAGTGCAGGTACTAGCTCAGCCTGGATGTGAAAGAGAATAAACAACCCTAAATATTTAAAAAAAAAAAAAAACCCTCCCAAGTACTGATCTAGAAATTTCCAGACTTTGATTTTGGGGGCTTTGTGGGACCCAGTTCAGTTGGTAACAGTCCAGATTCACCATTTATGGGTCAATGATGGATAGAAAGGAAATTCTTCTCTTTCCTTGAACTGCGAACACAGTAAATACATTTAAAACTGTAATGAAAGAAAGAGAACAATAAGAAATAAAAATGGAGCTGCTAGTCCCGGGCCTCCTCTGCCCGGCCTGGTTAGAAAGTCCAGCATGGCTTCCTGTCATTGGTCACTCATAGTGGAGGTCCTCGTGGGTACTGAGGCAGAGAGCACGCCATATTACCCGCCTGGGAACATCTAACAGGGTTCTAACACCACACACATCATCTAACAAGTTTCCTGCCAAGTTTGGTCACGAGGTCAGAGGTGGTGAGGTGGAAGGGTCAAAGGTCACCAACTTGACTGGGGTGCCTAAAATGTTTGAATTTTATTTGCCAAATTAGGTGGAGAATTATCAAGAGTTTAAATTTTTCTGCTTTACGTGATCGGAAATCAGAACTTTGGATTTTGGGAAATAAACAGTAATTTAGCAGCTGTTAGACTGATTACTTCATTTTTGAGGGGAGATAAAAAAAAATTTTTAATTCTGTTTATCTGCAATTAATGTAACCTCAGGGAGTTTACTATAACAACCCAGACTGGGCTTTCCAGGTGACCTTGACCTTTAACCTTTCAGATCCACTTATCAATGGCGCTGTGAGCCGAGGGTCTGAGATTATGTCTGAGTCTATTTTACACTTAGTGCTGCCTCGTGCCATCAAGAAAATCCATTTCAAACCCGATCAGGGCCTTCAGATCAATTTCCGCGCACACCCGAGGCAGAATACAGAATCTAAAGGCCCAGGGGTCAAAGGTCACGCCTTATCATATCGAAACTATGCAATAAGTCAGCAGGAAGCAGCGGAGCTCACCTGTCACCTTAGCATTTATATCGAGAGTCCAGGACTGCACTGGGACTCTTTATGGAGTTTGATGGGGACAGATGAAGGACAGGAAGCGACTCTGTCATAAAGCAGTAATGATGATGATGATGGTGGCGTGGTGAAGAGCACACCTCCAGGCATGCAGAGGGAGCGGGGGATCAGTTACACGGCTCTGCAGACTAATGTGGTCATTAAGAGGTGAAGCTGAGCTCAACCTCAGTGAGAGCTTCATCACCTCACAGAGGAAGAGGAGCTGCTGATCGTTCATGTTTCAGTCAGTGAAGATGAGACAAACACAAAGACTCCAAATCTTCTCTCCTGACTCTTAAAGTTGCACGTTTACAAATTCACAACTTTGACCAGAACATAGACTGTATATAAAAGATGATCTACACACATTTTGGACCTTTATGGCCATCTTGCTCTGTTGGAGCCACACCTCCGATCCCTCTCCTCATTTTTAAATCTCACACAAACACTGAAGGGCAGAATTTTTAATCACCTTAAAGAACTGAAACATACATGTGTGTATATTTCAGCCGTGACCACACCTCTCTCATATACTGAAAGTAAAAATACACCTGCTCTCCTCCTGATGTATATGATTGTGATTTTTACTGAAGCACAAGCTTCTCAAATAGTCTGCAACAGTCATATTATTTAATAGATAACTGCATGAAAACAGCACAAACAGTCCTGCAGTTCAGGGTCTCCAACTATCTGACAGAAACACAGGAGGGGGATGCAGATGCTGTCTGAGGGCAGCTGGAGGCTTTTAAATAGAGACAAGATATGAAAAAGGTGTTTGCTGACTCAGGTTTGTTCCTTTAACTTTATATAAAATTATTAAAAAGTGTAACAGCGGTATGTTACCAGAATGGTGAGCCAAACCAGCTCCAAGTGCTTCAAAGGACAAAAATGGTTTAAATTCAACCAAAAATAATTGTAATTGTTCTTTTCTCTCAGAGTGGGATTTGGGTCACATTCACAGTTTGGTGGTCTGCAGCAGCTGTTTTCAGCAGCCTGCAGCTAAATATGAGCCCAGCAGCACAGACACGTTTCACTGTGGAGAATCCTCTTCCTCACTTCCTCCCAAGTGTAATGATGCCGCGTGGGTCAAGGTTATCTCCGCCCAGCACACGGTCATCGAGCAGGGAGAGCGCCATCATGAACACGGCTGATAAAATGAGTCACGCTCAGTGTTTAAAATACAACAGGCATCTGTAATCAGGGCAACGGGGGCCTGATGAGCCAGAGGTGTTTAAATATGTGCGTATTAAACTCGAGGCCAAACTCAGACTAACACCACAGCCAACAATGCTCGACTTCTTTCACACAAACACAGACCAGCCTGCAGGCTGCACCTCTTTATGCCCTAATAGTATTATAAACCTAGTATTTCTGACTGTTTATCATCTATTACCATCACAAATAGAAAGTTGTATGTATCACATAACATTATTCCTGCAGTTTAAGAAACTAATGCCCAGTTAAATTTCACTTAATCATCAAATCACAAATCAAACAGTTTTTTCAAGGTGCTCAAAGTAAAGATCTTACAATATTAAAGAGAAAACCTCAATACAGTGTATCAGCAAGCACTTGGCGACAGTGGGAAGGAAAAACTCCCTTTCAACAGGAAGAAACAACCTGCAGAACCAGGCTCTGGAAGGGCTGACCACCGTTTGGGGTGAAGGAAGAAAGACAGGACAAAAGGAGGTCAGTCTGCACATACGTTACATGTGATGTATGTGCAGACTGACCTCTGCCTTTCTGTCAGCTGTGATTCATTTCTATGCTGATGACAGACAGATAAACCTGCCTATTAGACCCTCTGACACTCGCAAACTGAGTCGGCTGCTGAGAATCTTTAGCATCTGGTTTAATGGTGATCTAAATCTTTGGACAGTCACACAGCAAAACTAAGGCAATAATGTTTTTATTTCCATTAGGAAGCTAAAAGGCATCCTGCAGTTATTATAACAGCACAGTCCAGACCTTTCACTGATGATAAACATGTTTTATTTTGGAGGAGCTGTTTGGTAAATCTCTTCTTTTACTTGATGTTTAATAAAGTCACGTGTAAACATGAGCCTGCAGACACCACCGTGCAGATGTTCAGTACTTGTATTCGTCTCTTGTTGCCCTTCATGTTGAGCCGTTTGACGTACTTTGGTTCTTAAAGGTGTTTTTCAAACGTGCTCTAAAAATACTAACTTACCTTCACAGAAGTACTTCACCCCAGCGTGGCCTCAGTTTGTGAAACGCTGATGTGCGCTGCACTTTACACCAAAGATTAAAGGTTGAATTTCTGTTTTCATCTGTCGCGGTGCTTAAAGTTACGTCTCTTTATCTCTAATGTCTTATTCCATCCTTGCATTTGCTTTCTTAGATCATCATAAAGATTATTAAAAAGAAACTGGAGGTTAATATTTGTTTCCTTCCTGTCCAACAGTGTGTGGATGTGTGATCATGAGCTCTGTGCACTGAAGCTACCTTTGATCATCCTCCGATAAGCCGCCGCTGCGTCTGTTCTGACGCACTCTGGGTGGACGTGGGACGGTCTTCGTCACTTTGATTTCACCTTCAGCCTGAAAAAGAAGAAAAAGACGACACAAACAGCTTTCAGTCTTTGGTTTCTGAACTCTTTACAGGCGCTCTGCTGCAGGATTTAACAGCCATATGGAGGATTAATAGCAGCAGCTGCTGCGATGCTGCAGCATCAGCACCTGTTTTTCTTGTTATAGACGCAGTAAAGAGTTTCTTTATTAAAACTCTGAGTTTAATACGACTGATCTTCAGAGGAACAAGTGAAAAAAGAACAGGGAACAGTCGTAGGTCCACACACAGTCAATCATCAGCGCTCAAACTGTAACAGGATAAATCACTGTAATCTGACTTTTTACAAAGCGTCCCAACCTTTCAGAAAACATCCCAAAGAAGCAAAAGTTCTCTGTGAAGTTTTGCAGCAGCCTTTTAACCTCTTCCTGCTGCAGCGTCCCGTACCTGGCTCAGGTGTGACGTGTACCTGTACGTACCCTGGGCATTGTCAGGAGGAGGTGTCCGGTGGTTTGGGACCTCTGAGCCGTCGAGCTGTCGGGCTTCACTTCGGCCGGCAGAACCACCTGAAATATCTGCAGAGTAAATTATTCACAACTTTAATTAGTAAGATTAATGCGCTGATCTGGCACCGACGCCATCCCAGTGTGTCAAATGACTTTAATCATTAGCGGGTCTTTTTATAGGTACGCTTTCCAGAAAGGACTCGAGAGAGAGTGACCAGAATAGCTCCAAAACAGAACGGTGGCGATCAATCACAGGAGAGGAAGCCTATGGAAACCAGAATCAAGCATGTGGGACGACAAATCGGGCATAAAATTGGACTTTTTCATTTTTTCATTTAATTCAATTTGATTATGAGGGGGAATGTGAGGAAAGCCACACTAAGGAGGAAAACTCTTCAGCTGCAGAGTGTGAGACGTGTCTGATGTGATATACACGCCTCACAGATGGCTCCTCCAGTCAATTCTCCCCGCTCTTCTCAACGAGTTCGTATTAAAAACGAATTTTGAAAGCCCGGACTGATGTATCACTGCGTAAATCACCCCGCCCGTCCAATCAGGACGACCTCTGGCACACAACAGCCATCCATAAACACTGTAACAGCTTGAAGTGCAGCCATGACATTCAGGAGTCTGGCAGCGAGAAGAAGAACTCAGAAGCTGCAGGGCTCCGAATTCATGAGGGAAAAAAGTTCATCGTGTGGTGAAACAGCTGTTTAACCAGGCTTAAAGCAGCAGAAGTCAATGCAAAGCAGCAACATCTGGGGCTGAAAACGACGGCTGCAGTTGTATACAGTCTTCTCTGAAGACGTGAGAAAAGTCTTCACAGGACTCTCTGCAGCCGTGAGAAAAACTGAGTCCACCGCATCTGCAGCAGGAATGACTAACTTCTCTTTTTCAGTACTGACAGTGATGTGATCAGTGCTCACGTCACTGTGGAGGAGTCTTGGCCCTTTTTTACAATGTTGGTTCAGGTCATTGAGGTGTTCATGGTCAGCTCACTAACGTACATCTTTACTACTTTCACAGGAAAGGATTGCTGGAATAAACAGAACTGGAATAAACTACTATCAAGGTTAGAGCGTGCAGTGCTCGGAGAAAAAGCAGAAACCCGAGAACTCTGCATGTTAGCATCTTAAGAGTTCATGGCAGTACAATTAGAAAAAGACTGAACAAGTTTAGCTTGTTTGGAGGGTTACAGGGAGAAAGCCTCTTCTCTTTAAAAACAACATGGCAGCACAGATTAGAGACGAGACAAAGTGGAGATGTTTGGAAACCAAACAGTTATCAGGACAGACTGTCGGCATGGTGGAGGAGGCTGATGACTCGAGCACCTCGCAGTCACAGCGTTAACCATGAACTCCTCTGTATGCCAAAGTATTAAAGAGTCAAATATGAAGCTTGGCTCAAAGTGAGTCATGCATCACGCCATGAACACAAGCACAGCAGCAAGTCTACAAAGAAAAGAATCAGAGTGTTGCAATGACCCAGTCAAAGTCCAGACCTCAACCTGAGCTGTGCATAAATGAATTCACTCAAATCTCAATGAACTGAACAACTGCTGTAAAAAAGGTGGGCTAAGATTTCTCCACAACGATGTGAGAGACTGATGAAGTGATGATTACTGCAGGTTATTGCACTGAAAGTGGTTCGACAAGTTTCACGGGATGGAATCGGTTTTTCACACATGGCTTCTGCATTTTTTAGTTGTTAAATAAATGACACACCTAAATATGTCAGGTGCTGTTGTTCATATGACTGAATACATATGCAGTAACTGTTTTCCTCAGAAATCAATTCCTAAAAACATAAATAAATTAGCAGCTTTGAAAGACGTGGTAGAAAATGCAGTGGATGCGCAGGACGGAGGCTCCTGTCACAATAAACCTGTCAGACTGCAGGAAACCTCCAGCAGGGCTGCAGCGGCTCCACTTCTGCTGCAGGAGACTCGACTGATTACTGATCGTGAAGGTGTGTGCTTGAACAGAGCACATTTGTGGTGCATTTGTTCTGGACAGCTGCCATTTTTACAGAGAAAAAAAAACAGTTTCCATCTGGGAAATTAATTCATAGTAGGCATATTAAAACTCTTTCCAAAAATACCGACGTCACATAGGTTTGATGATTCAGCAGATTCTGGAGGCCTGTTATGTTCTGTAAATCTGCTCCTCCATCTATCACACGTTCCCGCTGCTCCCAACAAGCAACATCACAGCAGTCAGTCGTCCGTACATCCTCCACACTGCAGACAGATCTCTGCATTAACAGGCAGTGTTTCAAAACACAGCGGAAAACTGATATTGTAGGAGAAAAAGAGAAGAGCTCGAGGAGGTTTGGTCAGAAGTCTCACTTTTACTACTTTATAGCAGCTGGGTGAGCTCCTCACTGCTCCATGCGTTACATGATGATATGGGCCACACACCTTTACAGTTCTTACATGCTACCTGTTTATTTAACATTTGTCTTCCTGGTTTTATTCTTCTTCCTTTGTTTGTTTTACATTAGCATGCTTAATATAACTAAAGGTGTGCCACAGGGTTCGGTTCCAGGACCACTGCTGTATTTGATGTATGTTATATATTTTTACATATATAAACAATCCTGGATATTATTGAAGTTTGTTTTTATTTACATCCCAACTTTTTCAGAACTCTCTTTGTATTTAGGAATTAATACTGATGACCCTCTTCTTCAGGTCACATTCAACTGGTAAATGAAAGTCGGGCTGTCCTTTGAGATGAAAACGAAACTTCTTTCTTGCACTTTCATGGCAGTGATGGATTATGAACATGTTATTTATACATGTGCATCTTCAATGCTTTCATATGCTGGGTCTGTCGTGAAGCACTGAGATTTATTACCAACCTTAAAGCTCTGTATGTAAACTATGTGCTTGGGCCCACACGTTCTGCAAAGACACTTAAAAACACTTAACCTTAAAAACATTGCAGATTTTTAATGTAAATAGCTGTGTTACTCTGATTTAGTAAAAACATGTTGCACACTTACACTTATGCTATCTCTGCCAGTCACCTCAATGTCAAAATATGAAGCTACTGTAAACATACACACAGATTTTAGAAGCACCAACTTCTCAAAATTAATCATATTTTTCATCAGCGATTGAATTTGAAAACTTTAGTTCTCAGTTTCTGTTTGCAGACAGAAATATGTGCATTCATCTCAGACCTTCTCTGGCTTTGTGGTGCTGCTGAAAGGGGAGCTGCTCCAGTTTGGTGTCGGCCTGCAGCGAGTCTGCTGCTGCCTGCAGTCTCTGAACTCCTCACTGTGAGAAATCAGAGCTGCACTATGCAGGACATACTGCTTGGTAAGTGCTTCCTGTAAACTTTAGAGGCCAACAGATATCTGCAGTAAGTACAAATACCTCAAACTGCAAGTAACATGTGCACAGTTACCTCAACTCAGCAACACGGGAAAAGATTTGCTGATTTGTTCGTGTTTGTGCTCCTAGAGCCTTCAAAATTCACAGGTTTGAATCCCAGAGCAACATGGAAATACGTTTAGGAAAATCTTCATCAAGAACTACTGTCGCAGTGCCCTTGAGCACAAGGACCTTCACTGGCTGACAGCAGCAGTGTGTGGTTAAACTGGCCTGCTTCCAGTGTGAATGAGAGGAGAATGAAAGTGGAGTCTGGAGCTCTGAGGACACGAACCGGTAACAAACAAAGTGAACAACCAGAGGAAAGCAAAGACAAAGACTCAGAGGTCTGACTGAAGATCGAGGTGAAAACAGCAGCAGGTGTAGGAGCAAAGACAAAGACAGGAAGTCACGTCAGAATCTAACCTTCAAACAGGAAGTGACTAAGACACAAAAACACAGAGACATGAACATTAAATATGATGACAAACATGGGGAAAAACGACCAATCTAAGAGGCACCGACCAAGAACTGTGCACAAAGAGCTGCTTCTGAATATTTACTATTATTATTCACTTTTCTTTGGTTTTAAGATGCACAGCAGAGTTTGGACAGCTAAAATTCTCTTACACTCGTCCAGGTAAAAATTTCACATTGTACTGAGTTGGCTGTGACATGTTTTCACTGCACTGAATCATTTTCTTATTCGTTTCTGAATGTGATGAATCTCGATTTTTGGTGCCAACAGCATGAAAGCAAAGCTCCAACCTGCCTCGTATGAAAGGCTCAGGCTGCTGCTGGTGTCATGAGGTGGGGGCTATTTTTATGCTCAAGCTGAAAGCATCTCTCTTTGACTGTCTCACAGTAGTCACATGGCCTCCACAGTCACCACGTCTCAGCCCAGCAGAGCAGTGTAGGGCTGTGGTGGAACGAGACATTCACTTTAAGGATGTGCAGCTGACAAATCTGGAGAAACTTTGTGCTGCTGTCATAAAAATATGAACCAAAATGTTTGAGGAATGTTTCCAGCTCTTTGACGAATCTACGCCACGAAGTATTCAGACAGCTCTGACGGGAAAAAGTGTCCAATCAGGTACGAGTAAGGTGAGCGTAACTGTGACTGTGAATATCTGCATGATGGAAACGGTGGTGAGTGAGGGTCTGAACAACAAACTTAACAAGCTGACAAAGACTTAATGACTGACTCTAAGTGGCTGCTGCTGCCCTTTATGATGGAAAAAGCCCCAAATTAATGGATTTGTTGTAAAGTTCAGAGTGTGCAGCCAAAACTACACACAGGCTAAACTTCAAATTAGGCATCACCTAATCTGAAAGGTCACCAGTTAATCTGAGTATAAAAATAAAAGCTTTACAGCGCACCTTTCCCTTGATGCTGACTCTGGCGTACGACGGCTGAACGTCCACATCGATCAAAGAGGTGTCCATGTGTCTGTGCAAAGAGGAAGGTCAGTCATTATAAACACAGACAGGTACAGACGCTGATCAGCTGATCGGGTGGAGAGTTTTGGTCGGACATCTAAAAGCCCGTCTCTGTGAAAGAAGCACTGTGATGGGTTTTCCAACCTGAGCTCCGACCACAGTTTAAATCAATTTGACTCGATGTGGCTGCGGTAAATCGGATTTGGTGCAAACAGCCACCACATTAGACAGAAACCAGCTACACAACACACACGAAGACAAACCATGACTAGACACAGATCTCATTTACAGCAAGAAGTTACATTTTAAAATAAAACGAGGTACAGCTTTTTCCTTTATCGATATCTAAGGTTCAATATTATTTGACAAAACTGAGAGTAACTCTGTGTCTCACCATTAAATATGGATTGATAAAACAGGTCTGTTCGCTCAGTCCATTTGAACCCCTATTTAAGACATGATTAGTTTTTAACTTTGATAAATGAAGCTGCAGAGAGTTTGTGCTCCTACCTGTAAACTTCCAGGTCCAAGATAATCGTGTTGTTTTCTTCATCTTCTGTTAGACAGAAATCCAGCCTGTTAACAACACAGAGAGCAACAACCCAGATGTTCAAACCAGGACACATGACACTGATTCTTAATGTAAACACTGCTATCTACACCGTGCCTCCACAGACTGTATATAATAGATGGACAAATTATTATGAAAGCTCAAAGACAGAGTTTTTGTCACCACGATGTTCATTTTTGGAGCCATAAGTGACAGATGACTGAAGATAAAGTCCGATCAGTAGACTTCCTGTTGGTGCCTTCCAGTCCTGTGATTCTAGCTGCGATACAGACATCAACTTAAAATCCAAACAGGGTATTTAGTTAAAACCATGCAGGCTTAAAAAGGAGAAAATTAGCTGTGGAGACCCAAACTGTTGTTTTTTTTTTTTGCAGGAGGCTGTAAATGTGTTTCTTTTTGCTCTAAAGTTGGATGTTGTGAGATGACCCTGACGGTGAGGTTGGTCAAACCCACATTATTTTATGGCTTAAACTTGTTTCTGCAGCATGTGACGTTCCCGGCCACTCGTGTGCATCTTTACTGAGCTGGCTGCTACGAGACAGGCTGCCGTGAAGCACGGCGTGCTGTCGCCCCGCTGCAGTAAGGTGATATATCACATAAAGCATATATTCCTGACCCGAGCGTGTCCTCAGCTCAGATTACCAATGAAATCAGGCGCGCTTTAAGGCCTCGACCCCTGTGGCCTTGCTCATGATATAAACCATTTGGATAATGGAGGAGGAGCGGGGTTGCCTGCAAGCGTTCATGTTTTTCCCCAACAGGACGACAGCAAGTGGACCAGAAAAAGCACCTGATAAGTTTTCACCTGCCTCACTGAGCCAAAGTAAAAACATGACAGATATGAAGAAGAACTGTGATAGAAACTGTGGACCTGCAGCGCTTTCCTTTATAATTGTTTCCAAAATACAAATTGAACCTGTTGATCAGTCAGGGCTTTAAAATGTTATACTTAAAGATCTGATCCCAATCATCTATGCAGCAAGTTGTCATGTATTGCTTCAACAAACATGCCATCACAGTGAGGATGGAAAACCTGCTTCTGTTTCTCGTTTCGTACTTGGGCTCATTGATATTCAAGACTCGTCCGTCAGCAGTGATCAGCGTCCTCGGGGCCTTCGGCTTCTTCTCTTTCCCCCTGCAGAGAAACAGCGCAGTGTGAGCAGATCACAAATGAAGTCAGGGTGTTTAAACAGTGGACTTACAGGTGACAGCACCTGGAGTCATAGTACCTTGGAGATCAAAGATTGCCCTCCCCTCCAGGAGCATCCTTAGAAAAAGAAATATAATGTGTAATGGAGTATGTTTGTGTAGGCTGAAGCCTGGAAACACAGCAGTGCAGGCACCTCGAAGGCTGAAAGTCATGAAGTCAGTATGAACGTAGTTTAACCTGCCTAACACAGGGTGAAGAACCCCTGCAGGTTCAACACCAAGCAAGATTATGTGGAATAATCTGAAAAACAACAACAACAAAAAAAGAAACTACCGATTAATCTGAGTGAGCCTGAAGAGGCGTGAGCCAAAAAAGTGGTAGCTGCAATATAAAAGGGCAAAAGAATGAACGGTTCAAACAGGTATGATATAAAAGCTCTAAAAGTGTGATTTTAAAAAAAGGTGCTTGCTAACAAATTATTCTCTTCACTTGTCCTGAAAACTGAAACAAAACTTTTAGCTTCATACAGAAATATCAGATTAACATTGGAAATAGCTCATCAAAATTAAATTATTATGGAAGTTAAAAATATGAAAAAAGAAATTAAATTAGCAACTAAACATGAAGTATAAAAATTTTAAATAACTACATAAGATTGTGAAAAAGCGCATAAGTTGAATTTGCCAGTTAAAAATACGGATAAAGAAATGAAATAGCTAAACACTTAAACAGCTAGCTAAAACCATTACCAAATGAAACATAAAAAACTGGAAATTATCAGCTAAATGTTTTGCTAGCAGTAAAACCGTTTGCTAAGTGTAGCTTAACAGTAGCTGTAAGCTAAAATTATTAGCTTATTATTATTATTATTATTATGGATGTGGAAAAACTAAAGACTGAGAAAAGTCCCAGAGTCATCCCTTCGGTGTGCTCTCATCACCATCTGCCGCACAACCGGTCGCTCAATTAGCTGCGAGAAGCAGACGGCGACACGAGCGCTGACGGGGAAACACACACCTCATATCAGCCTGTCTATTAGGCCCACCGAGCAGCAGATGAACCTGTCAGCAGTCCAGGTGGGTGAGTGTTTAGCGCTCTGCAGAGGGTCGGCCGCCGCGACCTCCGCAGCCGTACATCAGCCAAGGAGAGGGAGGGAGGCAGGAGAGGGGGCGACGGCGTGCTTGAGGAGGCTTCGATGTGCTGAACCGGAGGATGTCAGGTCGTGGTTTTTATTGGAGTGGTTGGCTGGAGCGAGCGATAATGAGTCTAAGTGAAACTGTGGAGAAGCCTCGTGGTCATCTGTGTGACGGCCCTCGAATTGTAAGAGTCGAATCAGCGGGGTTCAGAAGGCGAGGTCGTCACATGGGTCACGCAGACTTCAGAGAGTTCCTGGAAGTGCTTAACAGGTCTCTGAAATGTGTGAATATACAGAGAGAGGGTGAATGCTGCCTCTGTGACAGTGCTCTAACTGTTAGGTTTATAAATGGACGCTTTATCTTCTCGGTTTGTTTTTATAGCTGATTAGACAGTTTTACTGATTTGGCCCATCTGATTGTTTCAGGTGCACAAACTGCTTCCACTCAGGATCCGAGGGCTCCCTAAATGGTTCAAAGTGAGCGTGAAAGTGATGATTTTAGACTCTAAGAGCTTCATGTTGGGCTTTCCTTCAGCATCAGTCGGGGTTTAATGACGCGGGACTCTGACTTCCACTGGAGTCCAAAATTATGACTGCTTCCTTCTTATTTCAGTCACTTCCTGGATGTGGTGGTGTTAGTCTGAGGTGAGGCTGACAGAAATTATCCAAACAGAATGAGCATCTCCATCACTTTCCGTTCAAACAGCAGCTTTTCCCTCGATGCCACATACTGTCGACTCGTCAAGGTCCCAGTGTGGCTGCCTGAGCTGTAAACCCATAACTTCTATCTTTTTAAGGGTGCATCTGTCAAAGAGCAGAGTAATGGGGACGTCAGAGGTGACAGTTCTAGAGCTGAGGGCGATCTGTTCAGACAGCGCTCAGTTAGCCGTGCGGCCCGCAGAGAACTCCAAATCCATGCCGGATTCACAGCTGCATTCCCCACGCGGAGGACAGTAAGGTGCTGCAGCACCTCTGAACCCAACATCTGTTTGCTGCTGTTACAGTGACACACAGCACACGGGCAAAGTCATCCATCATAGAGGAGCTGTGAGAGCCACAGACCACGATTACACAACAGCTCAAATACAGCTCGACACCAAGAAGACACCAGCACTGAAACAGATCAATATTTTAAGGTAACTTTAAATTGTTGGGTCGCTCCTTAGAATATAAAGCACCTGAGGTGACTGTTGTCATTTATCAACATATGAATAAAACTGAATTGAATTCAAATTCATTGGAAGTGGAAAAAGATGGACGGATGTTTGGATGTGCTCTGTGCAGCTTTTCCAGTTTGAGGTTTGAACTGTAAAATGGACGTTTAGGTGTTTGTGTTTTCTTATCTGGAGCAAACTAAACGCAGACACAGTGTCGTTACTCTACTGCTTTACTCTGTAAACAAAAGACAACAGTGATCTTAGATATCTGGTTTCAGCATCACTGTTTTGGTTCACTTTAACTGCTCCGAAGTCGTCATTTTACCTGCATCAGGTAGAAAAGACTCTGACAGTGAACTGCTTGTAGCAGAAAACAGGCGCACTGGTGCATTTAGTGGTCTCGTTAGTTCCCTGTAGAGTTGGAGGAGATGAAAGAGGCTAAAAGAGGGTCAATAACAAACTTAGGGCTGTCTATACTGTCATGAATAAACACCAGCCAGGCAACATCTCTGTGTGGTGTTTTCCCTCCTCTCAGACGAACAGAGCAGCCATTTAACATGGGCCCGTCTCCCGGCTGACCTTATCGCAGAATCCACCTCAGGACCAGGAAATTCATCTTTCCTGACAATCCGGTGACGGCCCAACTGCACGCATCAAGTCAGCGCGCTCTGACAGCCGTGCGTGAGGAGGCGGTAAAAACGGCAACGCCGTGTCAACCTGATTTTCTGCTTGGACAGCGCGCTGGCCAGGGATGCTGCTGTGATGTGGATAAGTAGGTGGACTATCACCTGTATCACACCAGGATTATCCACAGGTGTAACCTCACATCTTCTAAATCCAACCGTCCTCAGCAAACGACTGAGGCTGGATTACATTTATCGGCATACATTTCAAGACTGTGCAGATTTAACATCTCACATAACAAATGAAGAGGAGAGGATGTGACAGAAGCCCGACACGCTGAAACACCTCTGGGCTGATGTGAGGCGTTTCCTGTGGGCAGAGATTAAGCAGCGGGACACTTCCACAGTGTTCGTCATACACAGCTCAGCTGTTTGTGACTCTGTGGCTCGAGGTGTTATGAAAGCTAAACGCTGTGAGTCAGCGCTGCGTCCACAGGTCAGCGAGACGAGCGGACGGTGGATAGAAAGGGTTTTTTTAAACCTTTGCCTAAAGCGGAAAAATGACTAAGTAAAGCAGATGTGTCAGGCCTCGCTGTGCAAACAGCCAATTTATTACAGCATCCACTGATCCTGGACCAGCCTCAGTGCTGTGAAACCTCGTTTTATCCTGAGATATATTCTCTGTTTACGTCACAGGAGCCACGACGGCAGAACTCAACAAGTTTTACTGAAACACAAAGTCTGATGTTTCTGTGCTGCCTGGAAACGACACCCAGCTCTTTGTTTAAGATCACAGAGGAAATTATTGACAAGATTTTCAAAAAAAACTGGAACTTAGTTATCCAGTAAGACCTCACAGTTTCTCTCACTGGATAGAAAAGCTTTTATTTATGTTGACAAGAATCCACAGAGCCTGTCTGTTTCTCAGATTACATGAGGTGCTGCATCAGTGCTTATTTTGCATCTTATTTAGTGATTAAATAGCTCAGAAATTAGAAAACAAAAAGTACTTTTCATCTTTAAGGCTTTATAAAAACAAGCACAGTGATGTAAGGATTAAAGGCTCTGCCAACATCGTGATGTGGAGCTTGAACCATGGAGGCTGTCATAGCGACATCTGCACAGACCTAAGGCCAGCGCTGAGCTCCTTCATCTCTTTACGAGGCTGAAGATCTCGGGGGTAACGAGCATACTATGAATTTAAATCCTGCTGATGATGCTGGCTGGAAGAGTTATTTTATTGGCAGTAATCCTGACTTATATCTCTGAAACACTCCAAAGAATAAAAAAGACACACTGTCATTGTAACATCTGCATTTTTTCACGTCGTCACTTTAAAGTAAACGAAGAGAACAAAGTTGGAGGAATGACCATGTGACAAACATGCTTACGTGCATTTTAACTGTAATGAACAGGTGGACAAATAGAATCACTGGAGCTTTTTGGCCTTCTGTTCTCTAAGAGACGCTGAATGTTTTCCTGGTGACCAGAGGTGCTGATTTAATATTCAGAGCCTGCAGCGGGGTTCATCGCCCTGTGAACTGGAAGCTCGGAGCGACCCCAGAGGAGCAGGCTTTGTGTGTTTATTATTCTGCACGTCTATTACATGTCAAGTTTCTCTGGATGGTCTCTAATCACAGCTACAGTTCTGCCTCCACAAGACCGAATCATGGAAACAAAGAAGAGCGAGAATGAAAATGATATTCCTCAAACCACGAGGATCTTCAAATGACTGCAAACAGGAAGGAAAAGGGAGGAATTCAACCTTCACCCAAGGACACTGCAAGGACCTGAGGAAGGTAAAAGCTCCACAGAGGACAGACAGTCAGGATCAGAACAACAGTCAGGACAATCTTTTTAAACACAGAGGCACTGAATGAAAACCTCATTAAAGTGTCTATATCCTTAAAAGAAGACACAAACTAAAAGTAGGCGGAGCTGTGTGCCTCTGATTACCATATTAGGGATATCCGCTCTCAGTGACATCACACAGATCCAAGTGTTTATTACCATCAATTCATCCATTTTATTCTGCTTATCTCTATTCAGACATGGACAGATTTTACTCTCCTCAGCCACCTCCTCTGATTCTTCCAGGATGACAAAAATCCTGTTCCCAATCCAGTTGAGACACAAGCTCTCCAGCACATATTAGTCCCGTCCAGGGTCTTCACAGGGAGACAGGCGTGGAGACCAGCTGGCAACCTCCAGTCTACAAACTGATGTGTATTTGCTGACTACCTGAGAGTGGTTGCTGAAGGTTGCTGGCAGTCCGGACAGTAAAATTAGTCACAAAGTGGAACGCAATGCTACACTGAAAACCTCCGTCCTACTGCTTTGGTGCTAGCAGACTGTCACTGCCACCGGTCTCTCACATGGAAGACATCAACCTGGCTGCAAAAAACTCACAAAGCTGTAATGAAGTCGTAAAAAGTGCAACACAAACCACACACATGGTTACAAAAATCTGTGATTTTCCAGCTAATCTGCACCATTTTTCTCCCACAGAGGAGCGTTCACTGTAAACTGAAATAATCAGCATTTCTGAGCCTCTGCACTCTGACTGGGCTGCTCTCAGTGAGGGAAACCTCACAGCTGCAGGCTGATATCAGCATACTGACAGGGAAACTGTGTGTGTGTGTGTGTGTGTGTGTGTGTGTGTGTGTGTGTGTGTGTGTGTGTGTGTGTGTGAAAGACAGAAACACTTTGAGAAGCAGATGTTTAACACACTACACATACTCAATTAACACCCTGGTAAGAGGGTCACCTTACAGGTGAGCACTAATTACAGCAAAATAATTAGACTCATGACAGACCAGCGCTGTAATCTGATTGGTGTACAAGCAGAAGACATGGGTGGCTTGGACGAGTAGGGCCACTGCAAAGGAAACAGTCAGCAGCTATATTTTAAAGAGAGTTCGTGTATAATCAGCTAATCACAGCTCATCAGATTAACACAGGTGCCTGAAATCAAAGTCCTTTTACAAGCACGCCTCTGCCATTTTATCAGCAGTTAGTCTGAAGCCTTCACCTAACAGCAAAGAGAGAGAGCTGTAACTTTAATTTGTCCGGAGTGTGTTTAAAAAGTGTGGCTTCTGTACGGTGGCCCTGAGAGGTCAAATCCATTGCAACTTAAAAAAACACCATCAAATACTAAAATGCTGCAAAATCACACAAAACACAGCAGAAGTGTTTTTGGGGAGACAAAAACGTGTCGGACCGGCTGCAGGAGCGACAGGCTAACAGTAAACAGCTAATAGTAAACACAGTATTATATGAATCATGTGATTGAAACACACACAACCTTGCAGCTTCTTCTTACTTTACACTGATGAATCATCAGTGTCTCCATCCTTCATGTTTTTCATCGTCACTTCCACAGCTGGGATTTTGTTTGTTTGTTTGTTTGTTTTTAATCTCCGTTGTTTTTTTCTATTTCGTTTGTGTTTTGTCTGCTTTTGAAGTATTTTTCTGTTTGCTGGTGTTTTCTTAAGTTCCAGTACATTTGACCTCTCGGGGCCACCGTACCTCTGGTCCATGTTCACACATATATATATATATAATATATCATATAAAGAATAAAATCTATAAACAGGAATTTAAAGCAGACCAAAAGGAAGCTCAGTATTCACACAGTTAATTTTTCTGTGCTGTCAGCTCTGAAACTGACGGGACTCAAACCGCCGTTATTTCACCCACACGACTGATGTGACGAACCACCGGCTCACGCTCTACAGCCGTCTGACATCAACAACATCCACAACATCAAAACCACGAACACGTCAGCAAATCTGCCCTGAAACACCTCAAAATGCCCCAGTTATGTCTTTAGTGTGAGTCATTAGTCTGCAGAGTGTGCGGCAGCTGGGCAGTTTGACCTTCACAGACCGAGTATACAGTGTAAACACACAGTCCATGCTTTACATACAGAACATATGAATCCCTAAAACTTAATAATTTACTGGAAAATCTGGACATTTTAGAGTCTAAATGCTCCTTATTGTTTGTAAATGACATCAAACATTTACATTTATGCAGTTAGGTCCATAAATATCTGGACAGGCGTTTTTTATGTTGTTTCCTCTTCAGGATAAGACTGAAGTGCAGACTTTCAGCTTTAACTCAAAGAGTTTATTTAAACTAGACGTTCAGAGGCCCAAAAGCTTGAATTAAAAAAAAGTATATAATCCATCAGTGTTCATTAAAGTCAGCAACATTACACATAACCTGTAATATAAACCTGCTAATTTCGCTAACATGCTAACAGTTCAGTGAAAGTGCAGCTTCCATCGTCTCCTGTTTCTCTTTATTAACTCCACTGCACACTTTGCTGTTATGTGTTTTAAAGATGTTAAAGCGTCTTCATGTTTTCTTCTTTGTTCATTCTTCCTCCAGCTGCAGTTTTAAATGTGCAGCAGCACAGATCAGAAGCTGTGACACTGCAGACTGTACAAACTCTTCTTTAGTTAGAATATTGTTCCTCTAACGCCTGTTTGTTGTATATTTAGGCTTCGGGGCTTCAGGGTCAGTATTTTTAGACATATTTCAGTAAACAGTCGCCACTGAGTCTCATCAGTCAGTCCCACTCTGACACCTGGATGTAAATCACTCAGGATTATTGGCACCTTCAAGCTCACTGGCCGAGTCATTCGTCACAAACACAACAGAACAAAATCCTCCCTGACCGCCTGAACCCGCTCGTCTCTCTGACGCCACCGCCTCGCCTCGGGTACAGAACACTTTGTTCGTCTGAGAGCTCCTCATTAACCCGACAGTCCGAGCTAGACCGCAGACTCATCCTGCCCGTCAGCCAACGTATTTATGTCTGATTCATGCTGCTTCACGCATCCTCGACTCAAAATACATTAAGTGTTGTCCTGGTGAATCGGCTAACAAAGTCAACGTCACAGAAAAAAAGACAATACAGCCAAAAGTTTGTGGACAGCAGCTGCATTTCAGACAGCTGTACTCTTCCACCTGTTTTAAGGTTTTAGTAAGTCTTTATAAATGATGGGCGGAGCCATCGTGGCATCACCCATCTTGAAGCGTCTACATTAGCGTTTTTTTAGCTGGAAGTGATGATATTTGGACACGAGGTTGGAACAGCTAAATTATCAGCTTGAACAACCAGCTGTGTCTACAGCCTGCACAGGTGCATCACACACTCCTGACAGAATACTAGAATTTCATTCACGACATGGATGATGGTCTGTTAGCACCATTAACTGCACAGGAAACTCGATAATCACATTAAATATCTTTATTGTGAAACTTCTGTGATTAATTTAATATTTAAAAGCTTCAAAAGAATATGAAGAAACAACTGCTATGACTTTTGTTCAAAGCATTTCTGTATTGTGCTGAAGAGAGATTGCCTGAAGCTGAACTAAGGCCAGGCTGTACTTGTTTTATAGTATTACTTTGTACCACAAGGTGGTGCAGCGAGTCAGTATAACCTTTATTTAAAGAGGAAACTCATTAATAGCACACTCTTTTCTAACAGAGCAACATGAAAAAGAAAATGTCTTGAGGAAAATGGGAACGGCTAAAAAAGAAGAGTTTAAAAACAGTGGCACACACCACAAAGCAAAGTGCTGCCCCCCAATGGTGAAAGTTTCAGTTAAAATGTGCGCATGAGGGTAATTATAAAAAGTGCACACAAGCAGACCTGAGGCCTACCAGACACCCAGCAGCTACACTCAGCATACCTGTCAAACACAGGGGCCACACCTCTAAATATAAGCCACGCCTCTAATTTATGCCAGTCAGACAAATAGTAATCTCTGACCGGCACAGAAATCCCACCATTCGGGATCGGCTGCTGTGGAGTTGTCAGGTGTGATTATAGAGACATCTGGTGGCTGAACTAGTGAATTGCATCCAAAAAAACACCATATGAAAATGAGCATGTGTTTTACGTCACACAAGTAATTAATGAAGATAAATTTAGAGTGTTTTTTTCTTCCATGCACCCCCCCCCCCCCCCCCCCCCCCCCCCGCCCCCAGAAGTTTGTAGCTGACACTTTGAAACAGCCTGTTGACTTTCTTTTATGTCTCCTGTACAAGGCACATATTTGTTGTCTGGGCCTTACTGACCTCATTATTTCATACAGCCTGATTAACCAGTGAGTTCATTACAACAGTTGAGTAAATAAGTCGGTGTGGTGCTCAGATCTCACGGCACTTACTTCTCCTTGGCCCGCCTCTTCTCCTCCAGGTGCCGGTGAGCCTCCAGACGAGATTCGGGGGTGAAGCTGCACGGTGTGTGCCAGAACTCGTGCTCCCTTTGCTCCTCATCCTCCTCCGGGTTCTTTGGGTTCTCGTTCAACTCCTGGTTCTCCTTATTCTTCTCTGACTCTGGACTGCTGAAACCAGAAGGTCTTAGGTCATCACTGAGTTTGTAAAGACAGTTTAAAGACTCTTCGATCACCTGAACTCATCAGGGTGACCTGTAAGTGTTGCTATGAATCACGTGAAGATTCCATAAGAGTAATTTTGCTGTGGCTGCACACTGACAGTAAAGGTCCTGGATCTTGACTCCCTATAGTTTTAGAAAAAATTTAAGATGTTATCATCACTTATTGTTACTTTTCACGCCCTCTATCGCAGTTAGCAACACCTCTGACCGCCTAGAGCGCCTCTACATACATGACATCCTCGTCAGAGGTCTTTAGTCCGCCTCAGGGACCAGGAAACTAAAGGAGACACAGTGTTTGCAGTCTGAGCCTCAAAAATCTGCAACAGCTTCCTTGAAATCACGTTTTCTGGATTTCACTTTCACATATTTTACTTCCAAAACAAATCTCTAAGTGTAAAGCAGATATGAGAGTGACTCATCATAAGCCAAATCTAGTCCACACAGCAAACATATTTGTCCCTTTTTTCCCTCTTCCTCCTGATTTTAGCAGTTTCACTTACTTGACTTGAATATTCTGCTGTTTGAGACCAGATTTGTTCAACATAATCATGCGTATTAACAAGGACGTTAATAAAAAGTGAAATCTTGTCTCACTGCAGTTTGGAATTGCAGCATCTCAGAAACTTTCTGTACAAGAGTAACGATTTATCTTCTCACTCACGCTGTGTTGTTGATGTCGGTGTACCAGCGGCCGTCAAAGCCTGGTTTCCTCTCCTTCTTTTCCTCCTCAACTCCTGCTTCCTTCCTCCTCGCCTCCTCTTTCTCCTCAGCTCTCCTCCTCAGGTATTCCTGCTCCTGCTCAGCGACGCACCTCCTCGCCTCCTCCAGACCCTGCGAGGCTCGGATCCGTTCTGACCGGCTGATTTCTGTCCCGTCCAGACTCTGAGGACACAGAGCGAGAGCTGGAACTCAAACTCTGAACCTCCATCAGGGTTTAAGCTCACAGCCTGATGACCAAACTGCTTTCAGTGGTCTTTAAACGACTGTCACACATTTTTCTCCTGGAGCTTCACTGGCTGTTGCTTTCACTGAAGTGTTCTCAGCTCTGACCTTTTAACATCCGACTAACTGAATCCCTGCAGACACTTTTTCATCAAATACTTTGTCATCAGAATCTTCCAGACGGAGCTCAGCTGCCTCAATCATAAGTAAAAAATAAGTAAACCCAAACAAATAACAGCAGCCTCCACCTCTCTGGATGTAGACGAGGATCCACCTCAGACGTTACCTTGAGCTGAGGCAGTGCAGCCACCACAAACTGCCTGTAGCCCTCGAACTGCGTGCAGGGATTCCCCACCAGAAACAGCTCTCGGAGGTGGATGTTGTGTCTCAGGGACTCCACGCTGCTCAGGCGGCCCACGAAGTTCACCGTCAGGTCCAGTTTCTGCAGGCTCTCACAGCCTGATGAGCGGGAAGTGGAAACAGAAAGGCGACATGTTTACATGTTTACAGGCAGAAAAACAAGCGCTGAATTAAAGCTCGTACATACGCTATGCACTGACCTTCAAGGTTTTCAATGACTTCAATGTTGTTCAAGGCCAGATTCAAGTACTCCAGCTTCTTCAGTCGGCCAACATTTTCTAAACGAACAAAAACACAAAATCACAAAGTTCCTGTAGAGGCAGCTGATGACTTTTGAGAACAAAAGCATCTGTGTGAATGTTTTCCTTGGTAAGATGATGTGACAACACATCTAACATCTGACTGATGTCAGCTATCAATCAATCAATCAATCTTTATTTATAAAGCACTTTTCATACAAAAAACAATGTAGCACAAAGTGCTTTACATAGTTAAAAGCAGCCCACCCCACCCTCCAACTCACTCCCCACACTCTCATTAACATAAATGATGTGAATACACATATATCCCCCCCCCCACACACACACACACACATACACACACGCGCACACTTAAAGAGTAAAAATTGGGCTGGGCTCGCATGAGCCAAGTGATGAAACACTATAACAGGGAGCCGTCTGCACCGGGAGCCGGTCACAGACCGCAGCCTCCAGGCTGGGCACACAGCCGGAGGGAGGCAAAGGAGCCCCCAGCCAGTCTGAGAGGACCCCCAGAGACCCAGCAGCCACGGTCGATCACAGCCCCGGTGCAGAGAGCGCCCTCTGAGGAAACACTGGAGATATGACACAATAGGATATATACAGGGTAAAATGATAAAATAAATAAGAACGGGATACAATATAAATATAAATATAAATAGAGTAAGAAGATTAAAAAATGAATAAGAATAAAATCAAGAAATATTAGGTAAAGTCTAAATTAATAATAGAATAACAGGATAGAATAAATAAGCATAAAATAAATAAACGCTAAGTAAAAGCTAAATTAAAAAGGTGGGTCTTGAGCCTGTTCTTAAAAACATGTACGTTCTCTGCGGCCCTGAGCTCCTCCGGCAGGCTGTTCCACAGACGAGGACCATACCACTGAAACGCTGCCTCTCCATGAGTATGTGTCCTGACTTTAGGGACAATCAAAAGGCCAGTACCAGAGGACCTCAGGGTCCGCGAGGGTTCGTATGGTAAAAGCAGATCTGAGAGATAAGAAGGCCCAAGACCATTAAGACATTTAAAAACCAACAAAAGAACTTTACAATCAATCCTGAAACACACGGGGAACCAGTGCAGCGATTCTAAAACCGGTGTAATGTGGGCCCGCCCTCTGGTCTTCGTCAGCACACAGGCTGCCGAGTTTTGCAAGAGTTGTAAAGTTGAAATATTCTTCTTAGGAAGACCAGAGAGCAGGGCATTACAGTAATCAATGCGACTGGTAATAAAAGCATGCATCAGCATCTCCGTGTTGGCCCGAGAGAGAATAGGGCGGACTCTGGCTATATTTTTTAGATGATAAAATCCAATTTTAGTTACATGTTTAATATGTGGGATAAAACCAAGCTCAGAGTCAAAAATAACACCCAGGTTTTTCACTTGTAGCGAAGGACATAGTGAAAATGCCTCTAATTTAGACAAGAGTTTCTCTCTCTGAGCCTCAGGACCGACAATTAAAACTTCAGTTTTGTCCTGGTTAAGCTGTAAAAAGTTTTCTGCCATCCAAGATCGTATATCCAAGATACAGTTAAAGAGGGCATCCATTGGTCTGGTGTCATCAGGAGACACGGAGATGTACAGCTGCGTGTCATCAGCGTAACTGTGGAAGTTCACTCCATGCCTCCTGATGACACTGCCGAGAGGGAGCATATACAAATTAAAAAGTACAGGGCCTAAAACCGACCCTTGAGGCACACCACATGTCATTTTATGGATCTTAGAGGAGCATGTATCCATACTCACCATAAAAGTTCTGTCAGAGTGATGAAGTGAACCAGTTGTGTACAGCACCAGAGAGGCCCACCATGTGTTTCAGTCTGTTTAAAAGAATAGCGTGGTCTACTGTATCAAAGGCTGCGCTTAGATCCAGTAGCACCAGGACTGAGAGCTTTTGGGAGTCCCAGTTACATCTAAGATCATTTAAAACCTTTAGGAGAGCCGTCTCTGTGCTGTGGTTCACCCTAAATCCAGACTGGAATATCTCCAGGATCTGTCTATCATTGAGAAAATCAGTAATCTGAGTAAAAACAAGTTTTTCTAAGATTTTACTTAAAAATGGTAAGTTGGATACAGGTCTGTAGTTATTAAAATCATTACAATCCAAATTGCTCTTCTTCAGAAGGGGCCTCACCACCGCCGTTTTAAAGGCAGCAGGGAAGACACCCAACTGAAGAGAGCAATTCATCATGCATAAAATCTCAGCCTCAAAAAATCCATAATGTGTTTTAAAAAGTAAAGAGGGGATTGGATCTAAAAGACATGTGGTGGGTCTCACTGTGGAGAAAACTTTCTTAAGGTTCTCAGCATTAACCAGGACAAAGCTGTCCAGTGTCTCCTCAGGTACAATCGAGCCATCAGATGTGTTTACAATCATATGGCGATTAGATAAAATATCAGATCTGATGGCGCTGACCTTTCCCCTGAAGTGGTCTGCAAACTGCTCACAGAGTGAGTCTGTGGGAGCTGTTAAAAATCAGGGTTAAATAAATGATCTATGGTGGAAAAGAGGACCTTGGGATTATTTTTGTTTTTACTGATTATTTTGGCGAAGTATGAATTTCTTGAGTTCCTTAATGTATTATTGTACATTTTAAGTTGCTCGCAAAATATTTGATGGTTGATAGTATTTTTATTTTTCCTCCATCTCCTTTCTGCTGCCCTGCAATCTCTTTTGAGTTTTTTGACTTCTTCGTTTCTCCAGGGTGATGCATGTTTTACGTTAATCTTTTTGGTGGTGAGTGGAGCAACGGAGTCAAGGCTTTTCTTCAGTTTGCTGTTGAAATGATTAAAAATCAGATCGCAGGGTGCAGGTAAAATCACAGGGGGCATTCGTCTAAAACCCTGGTAAGATTTGCAGCCACTTCTGAGGTTAGATAGCGCCTCCTCACAGTTCGCACCGAGGTGATGTTAAAAAACACACAGTAGTGGTCAGAGACAGCCAAGTCAACAACAGAGGACACGCTGGTGGACAGCCCATGGGTGATGACCAGGTCCAGAGTGTGTCCTCTGTTGTGAGGACACACTCTGGACCTGTAAGAGCTAAACTCAGCCCAAGTAGTAGTGGCCCAAACATAAATACCACAACTGTTCTCACGACCTCACTTTCATAATAACTGGTGATATTTCAGTAAATAGACCAAGCCAACACTAAAATGCAGTCATTTCTTCCTTCAAAGGGTTCTACCCACACTGAGGCCCGTCTCACCGATCCTGGGGATGAGGTTGTTCTGCAGGTAGAGGATCCTCAGCTCCTTGCACCACCTGTCGAGGTGTTCGATCCTCTCGATGTCCTGCTGATGCAGAGAAACTTCCTCCAGTGAGAAGATCTCACACTCATTGTGCTCGGCGCGCCGGCGGATCAAATCCTCTGTGACTGAAACAGATTTTCCTTTGAACTTCATCTGAATCCGTTTCTAATAAAAACGTCTTCTCAGCAGGTCAGCAGGAGTTGGGGAGAATCAATGCTGCAGCCTGGTTTAACCTGCTTCACTCAATCTCTAATCACAAATTATTCAATCAATACTAATTTATAGTAGATGCTAATTAGAAAAATAAAACTAAATAGTCATGTGTGTTGTTAAACATGGTTTTAAGTCGGTTAAAAACAGGATCCTGATGACCTGAAATAGTCCGTTTTTTTAATAATTAGGATGTCTTTACTTTCATGGCCAAAAAAGTGTTCAAAGCTTAAATGTACAAAAACAGAATTCTGTTTTCATAAATTCAAGTTGAGTTAAAGCGTGCCTGTTAAGTCACGTGACTTAAAGTACTTTTTAAAACACGAAAACTCAGAGCAATCCTGTCCCACATAAATAAACTTCTTATTTTTAGCACCATAAATTAACACTATATTTAATTTAGCAATGTAGGCAAAGTAAAGAGGAGTTTGGGGCTTTTCATATAAAATCTGGAAAGAAAAATCCACTGATTTTTGTATAATAAATTTATTCAAAGATTTAACTTCGAGTTATGGATATTTAACGATTGACAGGCCCTTAGAGTACGTAAGAGTGGGCTGAAATTTGGGACTTTTTCATTTAAAAAAAAATCTAAATTTTTTTTAGATTCATCAGAAACTTTCAGGGTTAAAAAAACACATTTAAGCTGCAACCAAATCAACTTTAAACCCAGTATTACAATCTTGATACCTGCTCTAGTTCCCTGTAAACATACACCTGTGATGTTTGAGAAACCCAGAACATAATTAAAAAACTCACTTTCATTCTGAAATATATTTCTAGTATCCTTTAAGTGTCTTCAAACTATCACGGTATACAAATACTCGAACTGCTGACAGACATATGAATATATATTTTGAATCATTCAGAGAACTGAACTGTTTTTACTAACACAGACTAACACTGGAAATACTAAATACGTTTTCTAACAACATGCTAACTTGAATTTCACCGCCATGACCGTCCCGTGAGTTCATACCGGGCACAAACCGGTTCAAAGCGGGTTTTAAAACAACAAAAGTTCACGGACAGGCCACAAAATCGGTTATACTGTCAGTTATGAACATTGAAACAACAAATGGTGTATTTTTGCCTCTATTTCTTTCACTTACTGTAAACCATCGTCCTATCTGTGGCCAACCGTTGCCATGGAAACCAAACAGCAGCTGCTGCGTTCGAGTGCTGTGGTAAAATGCACCTCTCCACACGGACTAAATGAAGTTACATTGTTGACGGTGCTTTTTGAAATTGCCCTATGCTGACTTTAAGACTGTCACGACAGAGGCGCGGATATTCACGAATAGGAATGCTGAGATCTTTTCAGATGTGTGCTGCTGTTTAACTTTGAAGTGTGGTTACTTTAATTATCTGAAGAGGCATTTTGCTAGGCTCTTCGACTGTAACTAAAAAAAAACCGTGTTGTTAATTACTTACTTGGGTAAAGTAAGGCTGTGATGATTTACAGCACTATGTTCAACTTCAGTTGATATCTAACCGTAGTACAAAGACATATGTATATTGTTAAAACTGGAACATTTAAAATATTTAAAGACACAAATATACATTAAGTATATTTAAATAAAAAGATTATCTAAAAATACGAAAAGGAATCCAACAATTGTATCAAAGGTAATATAATATAATATAATTTATAATGTATACTTGAACCTAGCGAGGCTAGATCTTGATCTTTTATTTTGAAAGTTCTGGCGGAAGTTGCTAAAGAGACTACGGATCCACTCCAAACAAAAACGGTCGGTGCTCCGCAGCATCCATCCTATTTTTCACCGGGTTTGAAAAAAAACAAACCCTTTCTTAGCGTGAAAACGGGCGGGCCGTCGCTCCTCTGCTGAGTCCACAGTGTTTGTTAATGTCGATTTAATTCGCGGTTCGGCGGCTGGTGTCGTTTCTCGGTGGCTGAACATGACGAGCTATACGGGGTTTCACTCTCAGCTGACGTCCATCATGGAGGCGCTGACCAAAGCAGCGGTGGCGGAGATCTGCGAGCTGGTGGACGACAGCTACGCGGTGCTGCGGCTGGAGATCACCCGCAGTCACAAGGAGAACGAGGCGCTGCGGAGGAAACTGGAGCTCATTGAGTCCATCATCGCCCGGGGTCACCGGGGCAGCGCCGCCGTGCTGGAGGAGGAGGAGGGCTGCGAGAGGCTGCTGGATTTCACCCCGGGTGAGTTTTCAGGCTTTCGGTCATCTGCAGGTCAGTGATGTTTCGAGCGCGAGACTTCCTGTGTCTAGGCTCACAGCGCGTTTCAGAGCGACGTGAACCAAGCTCCATTGAAAAACAGTTTAAAAGGCGTTTTTTCACTACCCTGTCAAAGATTCAGACACCTTTGTCTCCGCATGATATTTTCCAATAGTCATGTATGAATTCGGCTTATGAATCAAAGTCAGGACTGCACTCAGTGTACACTTTATTCGGGTGTTTTCACTGTAAACCAAGCACTGGTAATGCGTTTACCAGTCCCACTTTGAATGAACCAAACTTTCCAGCTGCTTCAATCAGCCGAAATAAAGAGATGGTATAAAGACGCAGAAAATACGAGTCATAACTAGAAAAACAGAAAAGATCTTGAGATTTAAAGGTGGATTTCATTAAACGACTTTATTTTTAACGCTACCAAAATTACTGACTTTGATATTTGGGGGGCTAAGGTGGGAGTTGGCAGCTGCTGTTTGACGATTCAACCAGCAGCTGACCAGTTATAAACCCATTATAAACCCAGAATAAAACCAGTTAAACCTAGTATGAAACCTGTATAAACAGTTATAAAGCCTTATAAAACCAATTAGACCAGTATAGAACCAGTTATAAACCAGTATAAAAGATGTTATAAAAACAGTGTGAAATATGTTTGTTCACTTTTTTACTGTATTTTTTTCAGTTATTGACCTCTTTTATTTCATCTTTTATTTAATTGAGCTTCTTTTTGTTATTGTTTTGTCATATTTGTGATTTATTGATCTTTTCCACTGTTGTTTAACATTTTAGCTGCTTTGTTAGAAGAAGTTCCCAGCTCCTGGGTTAAATAAAGAATATTTCATCATATTAAATAAATAACTACAGAGCCGCTGTCTCATTCAAATCCCTTAAAAAGATTAATTAAGTTTAAGTTCTGTGCATGTGCAATATTTGGTCTGAAAGATGCAGCATTCAATCACAGTCATGTGACTTTAAAACCTTTAAAGTTTTAAATTCCTCACAGTTTTAAAATCAGCACAAAACGGAGACAGGAGTGGATCCTGTGTTTTGTGTTTCTCGGTCTCCTGACTCACTTAAAGACCTTTTTTTGTGTTTGTGGCGTTTTTTAAAATTCTCTCAGATCATGCCTCGCCCGCTGGAGTCAGCGCCAAACAGCCGAAGGCGTCAAACCTCAGACGATGTGGACGTGTCGCGGTGCTGGAGGTGACAGCGGAGGCGAGTCCTGCAAACGCAGAGGTGAGATTTCCCACCACATCAGCTCTGAGCAGACCCGATCACAGTCAAATAACGATATGATGTTAATGTGCAACACGAGGAGGGGCTTCCTTTTTAATTTTCAGAAACGTTTTTGCCTCGTAGTGTCGTTTTTTAATCAAATTAGAATTAAAATCTTAGCAGCAAGCTCAGTGAAGCTTTCTGTTTCCCTCTGAATGATTTGAAAACAAACGGCTGAACTAAATGACGTCAGCTCCACGTTTGATCAGCTGCACTAAAGTTTTCCTCTAAAATAAATAATCCAAAAAATAATGAAAAGGTCTAAAGTGTAATAGAGTTTGCACAGATTTTGATAAAAAGATGAAAATGGAATGAGTTTGGATATTTAGAGAAAAAACTTTTTTTCATGAATGTGAAAAGTCGCTAAAAAGCTTTCATCATAATCAGGCCACACTTAGCAGGTCTCCCTGAATCAGAGGAAGCAGACCGAGGACGAGGAAACAACGTCTCCCTGAGACATCAAAGACAAAACAGCAGGAAGAACATCTCCGGACAGAAGGCCGGTTTTCTGCACAGCGCTGACTTTTTTCCTCTAAACAGCAGAAGATGTGTCACTGTCACAAACATTTACTACAGCTCTGCTTTTTCTAACTGTCAGGACGGTTCGACAGCAGCTGCAGAGGAGACAAACGAACAGGATGTTGTTCTGATAAAAGAGGAAACACCAAAAGAGGAAGCTGAATCTGACCTCGCTACAACAGATGAGCTGCTTATCAGTGAGGACGGTGAGCAAGCCAGCAAAATGTATTTAATTCCAGGTGGAGGCACATAGACACTGTGTGGATGTTAAGTGTGTCTATTGATTTAGTTTAATTGCATTATTATTTAAGAGCAACAATCACAGAGTTCCTTCTTTAAAAATGCTAAAACTCACGTGTTAAATCCTTACAGTAAAAAAAAAAACAATCAATAAGTGAATATTTTAAACTAGCAGCAAAGTTCCACCAAATAAAAGCAGCAGAAACAAAATCAGATCAAACCAACTGCAGTCCACTCAATTTAAACTTTCAAAATAAGAGCGAGGGGACAGGCCAGCAGTAAATGGATGGGATTTTTTTCCTCTGATGAATGAAAAATAAAATTGTAATTATTTTTTCATTTGTTTTTCAAGACTTCATTTATGTATTTATTTTACCTCAAGGATAAAATATACTTTATTTATCCTAAAGTTGGGGAATTCCTGTTTTACAGCTGAAAAAAATTAAACACAAGTAGATTAAATAAATTCTAAATTTAAAAATGATCAGAAAATGAAATAAATTAAATAATTAGAAATTTAAATATGCGTAAGTAACAGCCACAGACTGTATAGAACAGGGGTCAGCAACCTTTAACACCCAAAGAGCCACGTGGACCCGATTTCCACCCAAACGGAAACTCTGGGAGCCGCAAATACTTTGTGACATCTAAAATGAAGATAACACTGTATATACTGTTTTTTACCTTTATGCTTTGTGTGAACAACTAAGGTGTGCTGCTTATGAAATCCATGAAGTGCTACAGAGAAAATTACATGTTATTTATGTAATTAACACATTTTGAACTCTTAAAGAAATATAACAAAAGGAAAACTGAACTAAAATGATCCAGCAAACAAAAACTGTTGTGAGCCGCTATCCTCATACCTTGGCCTGACTTTTAAAAAATAATTGGAAAAAAAAGCACTATGCTGCTAAAAAAGGAAAAATAGATATTTGCAAAATTCTGCCTAAATATGTATTTTACCTGGTTAATGTGTGCGGCGGGGCGTGGTCTGCAGCGCCGCTGCAGGGAAGGCGGACGCACCTGAGCGGCACCCGCAATCACGCCTCGCCGCCTTAACGTCTCTGCTGTTGTGTTGGTGTGTGTCGGGTTGTGAGCTGCAAAGCTGCAGCCGTCTGTGTGCGTACAGCAACCGTGTGTGTAAAGTGGTCAATAAAGAGATGCTGAAAAGCGTGTTCATGCAAACATCGTCGGGTCTGCCGTGGTATGTTTACAACGGGACTTCTGCTCCTGAACCTCCGCGCACAGCGTCTGCAAATTGGGGCTGTACGAAGTCACTTTCATCTTTACGCAGGACTGTAAGCTGTCGTCTGTGAGGCGCGAGCGCTGTTTGTTTTTAACATAGTTCACGGTGGAGAACAGCTGCCGACATAATGTGGATCCAAGATCCATAATTGGCCTGCCTGGGGTTGAAAGTCTCGATAAATGCACGGCGTTTCGGCGGGTATACCGGCTTCCGCGAGTGTGACGCTTATTTTGAGTGATGAAAAAAATAATAGAATATAATTTTATTTTTATATTTCAATATCACAATAATCTTCCAATTTAGAACTACAAGTTAACAAAGAACTAACATAAATAAAACACACTTCAGCTAAATACTTCTAATTTATAAACCACGCGCAGCCGCACTGTAAGGACTAAAGAGCCGCAGGTTGCCGAGCCCTGGTATAGAACATAAAAAATAAGGTCAGTATGGAAGCGCCTTAAACTTGCGTTCTGTCTGAAGGCCACCAGGTGGCGATAGATGTGGTTGCAACAAGATTTCTGGTGCTGTTGAAGAAAACAACTCTGACCTCTGTAAGCATCTTGCAGCTGAGTTTATGTGCTCTCTCATTTTGGCTCATTCTGAATAAAAAAAAAAAAGTTTTAAAAATCTTGGTCATGTTTCAAAATGATCTGTAACCTGTCAGTCACAAGTTATTAGCCAATGAGCATGATTCCACCGTCAGACCCGCCCCTCCTCATCACCTCTTGTTTTTTTGCAGTCAAGCTGAAGCCCTCAGGCTTTAAACTATCTGTGGTAATAATACATGAGAAAGTATAATTTCAAAATAAAAGCATGTGGTAGAGCACGTGCAGGAAAAACAGCTGTTTTTGTTTCTGTCACATTAAAAAACAAAATCACAATAAAAGAGGAAGAAGAGATTCCTGACCTGCTCCGTTTGAACTTCAGTTTTCCTCTGTGTGTCTGCAGGGACCGAGGTGCCGACGTCAGAGACGGAGGACAGTGAGCAGGGCGCGTCTCGGTTGAGGATCTCAAACACAACCTGCGCCGACCTTCGGCCGTGGGACCAGAATA